AATAATACTTCGAATAAACTTATTTGTGTGATTTCTTATACTTTATATGATACTAAATATGTAATAATAATAATATAATAATAGATATTATTTCAAACTTTTCTAAGCAAATTTTTTTATTTGAGATATTTTTCTATTTTATTTTTTTATTATTTTTTAATATTCTCTATTGCATATGAAAAAAAGATGAAGGAAAAAGATTGATGTATAAATAATTACTCCCGAATTATATTTTATTATTTTTTATTAATTTCTATTATATTATTTTTAATATTTATGTTGAGATTTATTTCTCGATCTTTTATTTTCATAATTTATTCTTTCTTTTGTTCTTTAATACGAGTGTGTTTGCTCTTGCTATGGTAACTGCGTGTGTTGTCTGTGTTTTTTGGTTGTCTTGAACACAATGTTTATTATGTGGTTCGTTCGCGTTTTCGGTCGTATGAATATCTTGCGATATTAAACTAATTGATATCTCTTTAAATACTTATATTTGAGTCTCTTTATAATAGTGGTGTTAAGTAATAAAATATCGTTTCACACACTGCGAGTCGTCGTTATTATACGTTATAATCTCAAAAATTTATTTTTAATAATATTAAAAAAATAATATTTTATTATTGTGGAGCCACTGCGATCCCGCGTATTTGTTCCTCGGCCGCCTCCTCTTTCTCGGCCGTCTCTTTCCTGGCCGCCTATTCCTCGGCCGCTAATCGAGCAGCTTTCCATTTTTCGTCCGCCCCTGTCGCCCCGTTGCTTATACCAGTGGGCGCGGGATCGGCCGTCTGCTTTTTTTTTGTATTTCTGAAAAAATAGAGATAGATAAATATTAAACAGTGAATGACAATACAACCATGCATATATATCAATATTTTAATAAAAAGGAATAAATAATAAAAAAATATACCATTTTCATTCATTTTCTCTGACGGCGGCGGTGGCTGCTGCTGCTGCTCCTCTTGCCTGTTTTGCAAATATTGCAACTGTTGATGCAACAGTTGTTGTCTCTCGTCTTGTAATTTTTGTTGATGCAACAACTGTTGCATCAACTGCTGCAAATTTGCATTTTCTCCATCATTCATTTCTTCTATAAAAATAAGATATATATTATGTAAGAGAAAGGAGAAGATAAAAACTAAAGATTAAACTTTCTTAACAAATATAAATAATAATATTTTGATTTGACTTACGGGACATGATGATTTTTCGTTATTTCACAGCGACATTTCACAACTGAAGCATTATTTCATTTGTTTCGTGTGTTGTGAATCTTTTTCATACGCTGTACTGTTATTGTTTCATAGCGCTTCTGAGATAACCTTGTTGCCTTTTGCGAGTCAACATATTTTATACGTGTCTTGTAAAATCTTGGTATCCAAGAAGCTGAAGCAGTTGTGATTGTAAGTCCCGATTATTTCAAATTTATGTATTTATTTCTATATTTCGATATTATTTCTATTTCTTCTTTCTTATTATTTATCTGTCGTTTTATTCATTCTTCTTTAGTTCATTGTTTCTGCCTATTTTTTGTTGTGTATAAAAATGTGTGATAAATTAGAAGACAGAAACAAAAAACACAAACGAAGATGTAAATATGATGGACGACTCACTTTTGTCGTTTGAACAGCGGAAAAAATCAGCAGAAATTCGGTATGCCGCATTAATTGCTGATAAGAATATTTCGCATCAAACGGCAAAAAATATTATCAATTGTTTTCAACAAATAGGAAAAGATCCTAACGTGTTAAAAAGTATGAGGAAAAATGGATGACGTTTCTTGTATGGTATGTTGATCCTGAAACATTAGACGTTCGCACGCAATTAATTAAATTAATTAATATTGATGCGAAAAATAGTAGCGCGGAAAAATTATTTAATGCATTTAAATGTGGCACCATTCATGTGTTGTAAGGCTTCTTGATTTTTGGGATACTACGAAGCTCTTTTTGACCGAAATGGTCGTAAGTGAAAAATCTAAATCAGGAGAAAATTTATTATCTGTGATGCAAAATCCGGATCTAAAAGCGTATTTGCTATTTTTAAAGCATATTTAAAATTTTTTAAATTCTTATAATGCATTTTTCCAAGCTGTGGAAACAAGAGTTCACTTGTTGCAGTCAAAATCATTAGAATTTTTAATAAAAATTTCCGAACATTTTTTAAAACCAGAGCTTCTTAAAAATATATGTAATGATAATTTTAAATTTTCTGAAAAAGGAAACCAAAAATCTTTAAATGATATTAATTTAGGATTTGATTGTGAAGAATATCTTGAGAGTTTAATGAAAGAAGGACATGCAGACATAATTGTCTTCAATTTTACATGACTGCTGCCGAGGAAATTGGTAAAAGGCTGCCTATTAGAGATAAATTTTTATGTAAATTAAAAGTTTTCCAATTAAACACAGCATTATGTAGCAATGACAGAGAAACATCATTTAATGATGTTTCTTTTGTCGCTCAAACCCGCGGTGGTTTTGACGAAAATGCTTTAAAAAAAGAATGGCATACTTTACATCTAGATTTTACAACAGCAGAAAAAGAACATTTTTCAAAATTAAACTTTGATGAGATGTGGAAAAAAATATTAAAACGTACATATCTCAATATCCTAAAATCATAAATATATAATATAATATATAATATATATACAGGGTGTCTCACAACCTCCGTTCAATACTTTATTAGCGTGTTCTAGAGGTAAAATAGAGATAAAAATTCTAATACAAAATTTTTGAGGCTGCAATAGTTTTTGAGTCATAAGCGATCAAAATTTGCCAATGATATCGCGTAAAACTTGCGCGCTCAGGCCCGTGATTACACTTACACGCGTACCAATCTGTCATCTGTTATTGATTTTTTCAAGTCAGGTGATATTGATTTTTACTGCACAGCTGATTTTATTTTCTCGTTTTCTATGTATTACGCTGTGTATATTACGCCTACGTCGTACATTATGGCGATAGGCTAATATTAACAGATTATAAATCTTATACGGAAAACATTTAATTCTTGAATAATTTAATTAAATATTCAAATAATTAAATAATAATAATAATAATAATTAAATTAAACATTATAACATTAATAATTAATAATATTAGTAATGAGAGACAGAAAACAGTATATCTGTCCTCTTCTGCTATCCGAAGCTAGTCGAAGCGCCGAGCTCACACGTACGCGGTTCGCGCTTGTGTATGTCATCCCCTCCACTACGGTTGCGCGTTGCTAGCGTGGATAATCTGGCTACACTGGCCGCGACGGCCGTATGGATAGCTATGAAATCGAACACAAAACTCGGAATGGGCGCGACGAGAACCAAGAGAAAAAAGAGCAAGAGAAGAACGACCGCTACGAGGAAAAGAACGCTTCCGATAGCGAAACGCGGCGGCTTTTTGCCCCTGCTGCCGTTATTGGGAGCTCTCGGTTCTTTGGCTGGAGGAGCAGCGGGAATCGCGAAAGCGGTGCACGATCGCAAAGCGGCGCGACGACAGTTGGAGGAATTGCAGCGTCACGATCGCGCAATGGAGGGCCGTGGTTTATACCTCGCACCGTACAAGCGCGGAAGTGGCGCGTCCACGACGAGAAGAGGAAGCGCTAAAAAAAAGACTTCGCGTAAACAGACGCTAGGGATCCTCCCATCCGTCGGAGTAACGACGAACGAACAATTAAATCGCGCGGCAATACTCGCACGCGTGCCTCACTTTAGAGGCGTGTTTATGCGCGACGCGCTTCCATCGCGGGCGCGCCGCGATGAGAGCGGCATCGTGAATTTAGACGACGCGTCCGGCCCGGGTACTCATTGGGTGGCGTACGCGAAAAAAGGGGGCGACGTGATCTACTACGACGGTTTCAGCAATCTTCGTCCTCCGCGCGAACTCGCGCGTTATCTCGGGCGCGATGTGAACATCCGGTACAATCGTCGCTCCGAGCAAACGCGCGATCAGGATATCTGCGGACAATTGAGTCTTCGATTTTTTCGGGGGGTCGATTGGAGGAATCGCCGGCTATAATATCGACCGTCGTTCGTCGATCGAGCACAGTTCGACCGCTCTCGCCGATCATGTCGCTGACTTTCACTTTTTCCGGACGAAGCAGCGTTTTCGCGGCGAGTTACTTTCCGCCTCTGGATTTAAACGACGATGATTACGAGTTAGGTTTAACCAATTTCGAGACTTATAACACGATACCGAATGAAAATTCCACAAATAATAAATTTTACTTCGATGACAACGACGAAGTTATCGTGATTCCAGTGGGATCTTACGAGTTAAGCGCTATAAGCGCGTATCTAAGAGCAGCGATTCATCGCAAACGACGAGCGAGAGAGGAGAGACGAGAGCGCGGGAACGAGGAACCGGAAACGAGCAATGACGATTATATATCGACGAAAATTCTATAACGCTTCGCGGTAACAATAACACTATGAGAAGCGAGATCAAGTGCGTATCGAGTAAATTTCACAAAACCCGATAACATCGGTTCGCTACTGAGTTTCTCGTCTCGCGTGTAACAATCGAATAAATGGTACGCGTCCGATAAATCAATAAATATTATAGCTATTAATCTCATTAGAGTAGAGTGCAACTGTCACCACAGGAGCGTATCACAACGACAAATCCGCGCATACTATACACGAGTTCGCGCCTAACGTTCCACCCGGATATAAAGTGTCGGAGATCCCGGCGCAGATCAGTTACCTCACGATCATCGCGCGGACCATTACCGATATAAATGTGTGTGTCGTGGATTAGAACGGAAGACTGATCGATTTTCGTGGCGAAGAGATCACGGTTTGTCTGCACGTGCGGCGAAAACGGTAGAAAGGCGCGCGATGCTCGTAATAAACGAGTCGAATGCGAGAAACGCGCCTGTCGTCGCCATCGCGTCGCCCCTAGACGCGAAAAAGAGAAGGAAAAAAGGAGGAAGGTTAACCGTCGCCAACGCGGCTTTCCTGCGCTCTTTGGGCTTCGTCGTACCGAGGACCGTTTAAAAGCGGAATGTGCGACATTCTAAGCATCGGCGGGGAGCCGATCTTCGACGGTCGTATCGTCAAGATCAAAACTCACACGTACAATCCTTACGCCAATACCACGTTCGGGAATAGCGACGAGTTACGAATTCCTATACAACAGCGAGATCTGTACACGTTACCATGCGATAGTTTTCTCTACATCGAGGGTAGACTCGAGTCGAAGGAGTCGCCCAGTGTTGTTGTTCGGGCCGGGTTTTCTCGCGCATGCGTGGTAGATGGCAGCCGAAGCAGCGGTGTATATAAGAGTAGTAATGTTTGGGCGCGAAAGTCTTGGCGGGCCCGGCAATAAGGAGAGGCTAGGTTAAGGTGAGTAGATAAGTATATTTATAAATAATGCATGCGCAAAGAAAAGGAGCAATTAAACGACCGAAAGTTAGAGACTTTCAAAATGCATGGCTGCATGAGGACAATTTTAAGATAATGTTTTTATATTTGATAAATTTTATTTATGTTCATTTTTATAAATAAATATTTTTATTTTTTGTATTTTTGTATGAATACTGGTGAGGTTTTTGGCAG